GTGCCTACATGACTTCTCCCAGCTGGAATGTCTGCCATGCGGCAGTATGATAAGTTAGTGCGAAGGCTACCTTACAAGCTGCCACAAGCAGACATGGGCAAGACTGGACAGTCAGGGGCCAAGAGCCACTGAATATCTTCCTCTGCGTGTGTGTGTGTGTGTGTGTGTGTCCCACTCTGTGAGAGAGGTGAAAGATGTATCCTACATACCAAGAGTTTTTTCGTAGGGAGAAGCAGCTTGTCTGGACTTGGCCAGGATTAGGTGTCTGAGTCTACCTGTTTGAGTACAGCAGCTCACAGCTGAGACAGAGAGGTGTGTGGGGACGTGTTGTCTTCCAGATAGTCACTAGTGAAGAAAACAGGAGGTTGGGATGGAGGAAGGTGAGACGAGCTAAAATTGTGCTAACAGGGCAGATTCACAGGTTAATAATTGTGCCATAAACTGTGAACAGGTAAATATCCACATCACTAAACAGATGACAAAAAAGAGTAAAAGGTGAATAATGTCTATGGAAGCATTTGCATTCATTCTCCAATCATTTATTCAAGATTCTTCCTTACTTTGTCATCTGTGTGTGTGTGTTTAAATTTATTGACACAATCAAGTTCATTTCAGAGCAGCTGTTCCCAACCTGAAACACCCCAAAGGGTCCCCTGGATATCTGAGAGGTCACTGGATGTTTAGAGAAATATAAAAAATATATATATTTCTGTTACACAAAGATGTCCCACAAAACATTATGCATTGAGCAGAGTATCATACATCTGACATGAGTACATTTTACATGTACTTTAGGCACTTCCTTATAGATTATACATAGTATTCTCATGACTGCTATCCTTTTATTGTCTAATAAATCAGAAATTCACTTGTGCTGGACCTGACATTCAATCCAATGCTGTTGACTCTATTCACTAACAGCGAGTTAGTCCAAATATCAGAGAGCTGCTGCTAGTGAGGTTAGCGAGTGCTGTCACCACCTTCACAATCAGCCTCTGTCTGACCGGCTTATGTCGGGCCGACAACAGACCTCACCTCTCCTTCAGTTGCACTCTGTGTAACTGTGTGTGTGTGTGTGTGTGTGGAGGTAAGAAATTAACTTTTTTTCCCCCTGAAGGCATGGTTTGCCCTCTTGATGTGATTTCCCAGGGCAGCTCAGGGTCAGTTTTAATCAAACAATGAATGCATTTGCATTGCATAACAGCAGAAAGAAAGCAGTCAGTTTGTACAAAAAAGTTTGTTTCTTCCTCACAGATAGATTGGTGTGCAATGTTGGTGGTTTCTTTGTTGATTTTTATACATATGTCAATCAAGTCACGTGGTACAAGGCGTCTAAAGGAAACAGTGAAAGTTACTGGCATGTGGATGTGTTGTGACAGTGTCATGGCTTGTGTACAGCCCGACTGGTCTGGCAACATTGTGGCAGCAGCGGCAGCAGTAGACTGTGGCAAAACCTGTTGGTTTGAAAAAAAGAAAAAGGAAAGCGTCAAGGGGGGTGGGGGGTGGGTGCAGGGAGAGGAAGTGGCCAATGTGGAAGATGAAATCCAACTTCCTCTTCCCTCAACAGCCTCCAGAGAGACACTGAGGTCACACTCACCCCTGACAGCCACCATTTCTCCCTCTCTGTGTGAAGTTTTGTTGCCGGACAAGTTTCAGGTGCCGAACAAAGTGGTCTCCACACTAAAATGCAACTTAAAGAATCTATTTGACCTTGGCTCACCCTCTTCAAGACTAGCTGACCTTAGATATGTAGTCATGCTGTTAAAGACATAAACCAGAAACTGCTGTTTGACAGCTAAAAGATAATTTACAGCAAAAGGATCCCTTAGTAACAACTTGGCTGAGCCGAAAGTGAACCTGAAAGCCCTCGTGGTGGGAGGAACGGGGAAAATATCTCAGGCTGTCTGCGGCAAACCCCTGCTTATTCATACGCACAATGGACAGCCAGGTAATATTCTCCTCCACTATTGAATAGCTGACACCTGGAAGATTTGCTTTCACACAGGCCCTAAGGCTGGACAACCTCACCCCAAACCCAAGCTAGCAAGTCCCTGCACAACAACCTCCAGGGTGGGGGAACTTGAGCAATGTGCGGCTTTTGTCAGCCCACCTTCCCACCACCAACCCCCCCCCAACCTCAATTCTTTTACTTTTTGCCCCCCTTCTGAAAGCATAATCACACCCTTCTCTCTTGAGAGATATTTCCCTCTTTCACAAAAGACTGAAAGGTGAAAGGATTGTCTCTCTTTTCTTATGATAAGGAGGGAAAAAAGCAGGAAGGTGCACGGGGACACAATGGCTGGCTGGAGACTTTTCTCACAATGATAAAATTTCTCTGGAGAAAGTCATGACACCTTTACTGTCGGGAAGATCTCCAACAGGAACGAGTTGTGAATGTTAGTGAATTAAAATACACACACACACACACGCACAATGATTTCTGTACCTCTGTTTAACATGACTGACAAAGACATAAACTAATGTAACTTGCAACTTGATGTATAAAACTATGATTTGAATATTTTCTTTAGAGACTGGTTGATGTTTTGGTGCAGCATGTGAGTCTGGGTTTCCATCATGTGATAACTGGAGTTGCGCTTAATTTACATATTAGCTGAATTTAGTCAAATACTGAGCGGAGGTGAACAGCTCCACTGTTCCCACCAAACAGCAAAACCACAGTCACAGATAGAAAAGATAAATATCTAATTCAGTCCTACGAGCCACATTATGGTGCGTAGGCCTACAGGTCATGCTGCAGCAGTGTTTGCATAGCTGTGATTAAATATAGATGTTAATAAAAACAGGACTTTCCGGATCATCAGTACATACAGTTACGTCTTTAATTTGATATTGTTGAAAAAAAGCATATATCAATATTTCAAAGTACATCAGTATTATGTTCATGTTGTTGTGGGTGTGTGGATCTCTCAATGTCTGTGAAGCCCAGCGGTGAACATGAAGTAGATGCTGATGCAACACTCACAACATGATTTTATGATGTTTGACTAATATCTCACATAAGACACACACACACACACACACACACACACACACACACACACACACACACACAGAAACCCACTCCAGCCCTCCATACCTGCCCCCTAGTGTCACTTTTAGGAAACATGTCATCGCTTTACAGCTGGTGAGTACTGCATGCACTGTATACCAAGAGCTATTTAGCTGAAAAATCAAAGATAATAAAGAATTATGTAAAGTGCAACACAAGCAGCACATAGCAAGTAATAAAGAGCAAAAACAGCCAAAATGCTTATTTTTGGTGTAATTTGGTAAACACTTTCCCAAATGTAAGAAAAGTTATAAATTGCTTCTCAAGGAAGATAAATTGACACTGAACACATAATATAGATTTGCAAAATGGAAAGACAGATAAAATAAAATCCTTAAAAAGGCCTGGTGAATTTTGATAATAGACTTCTCATCACATATACTGCCTCCTGTGTATAAATAATTGAAAGCATCTCCAGGTATTCTGCATGGCAGTGTCTATAGCTTTAAGTGTATGTGTTACACCCGTAAAAGTAAGAAATGTATGTGCTCCCTAAACTAGATGCTCTTTTTAAAAAAGCATCACCTTGATCAAATATTTAAATTCAAACAGTCCAAATGCATTTATTCAAAGCTAAACTAAACATGTGAATACATTTCAGATTCCAGGCCTGTGTCCGCAGGTGCATTTTGATTGCCATGCAATAATGCTTATCAGCAGCACTGTGAATAAAGCAGTGGATAAACAATAACTTCCAACTTGGGATCATCCTGAAACATTTAATAAAAAAACATCTTATAGTTTAAGAAAACTGTATTGACTTTCTTCTCCTACATGCATTCAATTTGATCATTCTTCTTCCACTTTGTGGAGTAAGAGTAAGAGGAGGAGGAGGACAGGGAGGAGGAAGAAGAAGACCAAGGGGAGCCATAATCTCTGATGAAATTCAGGTCACCATGGTCTATAAATGAAAGAGGCTGGGCAGAGAGTACAACCAAACTTGAGTGGGTTTGCAATAGCATTCGTAGTCCAGACTTTCCAAAATGAGAATTAGAAATATACTCTCTCAGTATTGTAGTACTGCATATCAATACAGTACTCAGTGATCTTTGTAGTACAATACTGAAAGTGGACTAGTCCTGTAAACAGAAAGTGTGTTTTACTGTATGCATGAGATTGGGAACTGTATTCCTACCTACACAATATTTATAGTATTTACTGCCTGGAGATGGAAGGTCTATGACCACGATCCACATACATGTATACCTTCTGCAGACATGGGAATATGCATGTGCAGATCTAGCAGTACACGCTTGTCTGATACTTCTTCTGCTGCTTGGCCAGGGAGGACATTTCCTGCGATGTTGAGGTGCTGTGGCTAGGCTGAAAAAGAAGACAGCTGCAGCCAGATTTCTTTTTGATTTAAATTTAATTTCGAGAAGACATAACGTTGTTTTGAATGCCGTGTTTGCTTTTGCAAGCATTTTGTGGAGTTTTGTGTATGAGTTTTTGTATTTATGGTTTTAAGAAAATGAGAAAAATGCTTTCAGAAAAACGTGTGTAAGCAACTGAGAAAAACTGCAATCTAGATTTACCAGTATTTGTGGATGTGTACTAACCAAACTCTGCCACTTGGGGGCAACATTGCTAACGTCATGTATTTGCAGCATGCCGTCAGCTATCAACCATTCATCAGTGCATTCACGGATTACCCTCATAATCGTAAATATGGGTTTATTCCTTTTACACAGTTTTTGGTTTATCCCTACATACGTTACCTTGCTCCCTAGATTTGATAAAAGCAGTTTGTCTGACAATGAAAACTTAGATTGCATTACCTGTTCCGCCAATGAGGACAACAATTATGTTGATAGGTTATTTGTGTTATCTGGTCATTCACTACATTCACAGTTTGGTATACTGCTCCAAACACATGTTATTTTATTCACCTTGTAAGATGGTTAAAAAAAATGAAAGTCCAGTTACACGTTTTGTAACCCATGAAACTGTCCAATTACTTTAAACCCCGAATCTTGCGAGTGTCTTTGAATGCAGCAATAGTCTTCAGCTGTCTGTGAACTGAGCAGCTGTCACTCTTGAGTGTGATTTCCCAGCAAACGACGCGTACTCTTATTTTGTGAGGTAAGCATGGTTGCCTTTTTAAAGTTTTTTTTTAAGTTGTAACATATCGCCGGTACTTTTCCTGATTAACGTTACTCATGGGCTGAAGGAAATATTCATCATACGGTTAGCCGGCTAGCTAACGAGATAGCGTAAGGCTAGCATGTAGGCTAACCCACGTTACAGCTGATAGGCACCTGCCGCTTGACTCCAGCTAAAACCTGGATTATTGTACGAGGAAAGAAACTAATGTGGCCTCGACGACAATGAGACAGATGTGCTGTGGTAACTTCAGCACAACAGGAGGACTTGCCTGAACAGTAAACTAAGAGGTGGAGAGGAAATAAAATCTCAGACAAAAACAGTAGCTAGCTAGCTAATGTTAACTGTTGACTTGCTAATTCGTCTGTATGTTTTCATTGTCCCTACATCTGAATAACGTTACTTATATAAGTGAAATGACTTATCAACATGTTATTCCTCAATCTCCTAACAACTGACAAAACACGTTTTCAAATCAGCTAGTTAACATATGGTGTTGACACAAGTTAACAAACTGAGTGCTTAGCAGGCTAGCAGAATTTTTTCGTAAGCTAACCAACGCTACACTGACTACATTGCTGCATTGACTAACAGCATACTATTTATAGAAGTTGCTAGTAAAGCAAGGCTGGACTACCAACAGGCAAAGTGGTTAACTTTCCCAAGTGCCTAGACCTTCATGGGCCTTGAACTCCTCGGGGTCACCCTCTCAATCAGTGTGGTAATTTGGGAAAATGCCCCACTATAGCTTATAAACTGTAAAGAGCCTTAAGGCTGGATGCTGTATTATTACATAAGGTGTATAAAATTCTAAGGGCTCATGGCTCAATTGTCCCCCTTGGGGCACTTTAATGGGTCAATGTGGCCACACTAGTAGTAAGCTTGCATTCTTAGCGGACCTCGGAAGGAAGGATCTTATTGGAAGTGCCCTCCATGGAGTACGTGCTGGACAGGTGAAACTAGTTCATCAGACCACACAGTAAAAATCCATAATTTAAATTCTGGGCAAGAGAGAACTTGTTTCCCCACCCTGATTCCACTCTTTCACAAATGCCAATTGTAAATAAATCTGTAGAACAACCTGCCAAGCCTGGTCCTGTTTCAAGAGACTGGTTTGTTATCTTTGCTGATTAAAACCTGGAACTGTGGCATGTTTTTTTTTTTTTTTTGCAATGGTCCATATGCTGAATTTAAAGTGGCTGTAGGTTTTACTCAGCAGAGTTATTTGTTCAACACCTTGCCCACTGGAATCGGCCTCTGTAGAGTCACTAAGAAAAGCATTTTGTATGTTGTTTAGTTTCCGTCGTCATGAATTTCTTCCAGGAAATACATTTCTCTTACCCTTGTGTAACTCAAGGTTTTATGGCCATGTGGCTCCTGAATTTCAGTTCAGGTTAAAGTGGAGGTTTATCTTGTTTACTTTGCCTGGCTCTGGCTGGCTGACTGGCTGTTGTTTATTCTTTGCTTGCTTTTACAGTGTACAGTGTTTATATCCAGGAAACCTTTAGCTGCCTTTACGAAAGGCTTTGTACTGGCCTTGCAAAAGACTGATGGAAAATAATGAGATCGTTGCCTGTCTCATAGACCTAAATGTGTGATGATCTCATGTGTGTCACTCATGCTTTACCTTTGGTATGACATTAAACACGGTATCATGCAACCCTTCTGTGTCCACTAAAATAACTACTAAGGGACTTTTACTAACTGGCTTGTTTATGGTAGATGTATATCAACAAAGACAAAGTTAACTATGTCCATAGTACTGGTGTTTATCAGTAATCATTCAATCCTTTGTCCTTGCTACCTCCTCTTTAGGCTTTGCCAAAATGGCACGTGGGCATCAGAAGATTCAGTCTCAGCAGAAAAATGCCAAGAAGCAGGCTGAGGCAAAGAAGGCCAAGGGCCATGATCAAAAGACTGCAGCAAAGGCAGCGCTAGTGTTCACCTGCCTTGTGTGCAAGGTGAGTATGAAGTCCCAGCTCTGACGAGCCAAAACCTGACTCGGGATGGGAAATGGCTTTTGATTTGTATAAAATCCGTTGACCAACCAAATACAAGGCTTGTGCTTTTTCCCTGAATTATAACATAATGTTTGCTGGATATATTGTCCCTTCCTGCAGTCACAGATGCCTGACCCAAAAACCTTCAAGCAGCACTTCCAGAGCAAGCACCCGAAATCCCCTCTGCCCCCTGAGTTAGAGGGAGTGGAGGCATAAACTGCCACCCTGGATACCAAACCCAGTTCTTCAAGGCCCTGCACTAATTCTGCACTCACCTCAGTCTGACAGCAAAGGACCATTTTATGTAACCAACATGAAGCAGTTAAGTTAATTTAGGCTTGAACAGACCAGGTTGCCTTTTGACGCCATGCTTCCTCCCATCCAGTCCTGTTTTCGCTTGTGTTTAAATACAGGTGGGGCTAAACCCTGTTACCAAGTGGTGAATGAAGATTTCTCCCTTCATTCAACAGACTACTCACTGCCCTGAGGTGTTGTGCACACAGGAATATTTCATGCTGCTTGCTCTTATATCTTTCTATCTGAAGCTTTGGTGGCTTGATTGTCCGATTAACCCTTTACAGCCAGACTACCACATGGGGTAAACACATACAGTGTCCTTAAACAAAGTGTGGATTTGGCTTGGGTGGTAGAATTCTGATTTTAAGTTTGCTTTAATCAAGGCAATGGCAAATGTGACCTCATCTATTTTATTAATCATTTGAGTACTGAATCAAAAGTAGGCAGACTTTTTTTCCCTCTTTCATATCAGTTGGTAAATATGGAATTCCTTCACAGCACTGTCTGCCCTCTTCTACTGAGATCTGTCTTCTACTTAATCGTAATTTCATGTTGGGTCACAAAACGTGAAGTTTTGCTAGCCATTTCCAAGCTGCGACACCACTTGTCAGTTAACAAGAAAATTTTACGGCGGTTTAAAGGCAACATTTGTACACTTGGAAAATGAATGTATGCTCCAATGATGTATTATAGCATTTTATTAAATTTTACTTTGTTGTAGATCTGCTTTTTCTTTCCTTGCAAATGTTTCTTTTCATAAACCACCAAATTTTCTGTGATAGTGTTTTGTAGGATGCATAATGAAACAGACAAATTGTACATACAGAGACTGTGTCTTTCAGTAGGTAATATTATTTGAAAGAATCCTTACTAACTGGCCTGATGGGAGTTTACTCAGGCCTGTCAGTTACATATACTCTGTGTTGGCTTTCTTGCCTGGTGGACTAAAATTCCCTGTCGAGATTGAAAGGTTGTCTTCACCTGTTTACTTTTACTGACGGTTCAATATTTGATTTCCAAATTGACTGCATTTCTCTACAGTTCTACTCACGCACAGTGTCAATGTTTCTTTTTCACATTATGTAAATGTGAATTCTTCAAAGGACTTCAGCTGTCACTTATAAATGTGCAGCAATTAATTAATGGATGATGAATATTTGTACACATTATTGCATTATGCCGCTCGGGAGCCTTATTATGAAAGGGAGACAGGAAGACTCTGAGTAATTGACTCAGAGACTCTCTGAGAATTGGTAATAATAATAAATTATTCTTCACCAGGATGACATATTGATCAACTATACACAGTTTATATTATAACATTTGCTGCACTTGGACATTTTAACATCTGGTGTCAGCTGGTCTTTTTTTTTTTTTTTTTTTTTTTTTTAGGGGGTTTTCTCAGGGTTAAATAACTAAACTGAAGTTCATATTAGGTTATAGTTAACATTCCTGAACAGGAAAATAACTACATTTAAAACGTCATCAAAAGAAAAAACTTATACATAAGAGATAAAACCAAAATCAAAGCATCTTGCAGATAACTTATTTCATGGTGTGTATGAAAAACATGCAAAAGATGTAATAAATTGAAAGGGAAAAGGTTTACACGTGGAAAATAGGATGCAAATGACAAGAATACCAGTGCCAAATCTGAAATGGATATTTTAAATTGTGATAAAATATAAATGTCAGTAGTGTGATGTAGAGCCTGATACCAGCTGTCATAAAAGTCTTGCACCAGCCTGACTGCTGACAACAGGAAATGACTCAAACTGTGAGTGTGTCTAATTAACAAAAACTATGAATCCTGTCTGAACCCATAAGTCACTCGACCAGCTGATCATTCATTTCCTCCAGCTGTGACAGGTGCATTTGTTCAGCTCAGACTCAGTGGTTGAAAAGATGTGTTGCCATACAGACAAAAGGGAAAAAAACAAAGCTTTGCATTTCCCGGTGTTACAAGCTTTCCTTGCATTCATAAAAAAGGTCACAAAATGAATATTTGTCATAACCAAGCCTTTTTCCTCTTTATAATGAGTATTGAGTAGAACCAAAAATAAAGCCAGTGCCACGCTGCCTGTTTTTTCAGTGGTTTGCGTGGCTCGACTAGATGAGTCATAGCCAACATTGTTCCTTTGTCTCCTCACACATAGTCCACCTCCTTCCTTCCCTTCTGTAAACTTGTGAATGAAAAAACACAAGACATGTTCATTCATACAAGTAGACACACACAAACATCTGCAAGATCTCATTTGTGAGAGATGTGTAATGGCCTTATTTTTTAAATTTATTTTATTATTATATTAAAGAGAAGGGCTCAGAGAAATGATGAGCACTTGCACAAAATTAATTGATGGTCTTAATTAGGTGAAGGAGTTAATTAGATTCCCACTGGCTATAGATCATCTATTTCCAGACACATATATCAGTTTGAAGAGACAAAAACTATGGCAAGCCAGAGAGTGCTCTCACTGTACCTGTGAAACATTGGTTTTTGGCTTTATGTACCAGTGTCTTAAAACATCTAAGGCTAATTAAGCCAAAATTATGAACAATTTTTTATAGGCATTTTTTTTTCTTCAGGAAAACAGCTCAGGGTTCTGAACCACATTGGTCAGTGGCCTCCATAGCAACAGTACTGCTATATTATTATCATGTCTGTCTGAGCCCAAAACTAGCTTGTGTTTCAAGGTCAGTAAAGAAATCTGCTGCAATTTACTGGCCTGCTTCAGAACAACTTAAAACCCCACCCAATGTCTATGGACCGAGGCACATCCTGTTGAAAACCTGATTATTGAGTACATTCTCTGCAGCACGATTGCTTGAATAGCTAATCATACGTTTAGTAATGTCTTTAAATCTATTTGTATTGATGCTCCAGGGCCCATCTAGTTTTTTTTCATTAGGGGAACATTTTGGGGAGCATCACTGAATTAGATAAACAGGGATGGTGGTTAGACTACTAAGGGCGTTGGTGGTTAGGTGGAAGGGAAACTGAATTGAAAATAATGACATATGAGCCTATCATGTGTAAGGTCCATCAATGTAGCAATCGGTAGCAATCCTAGAGACACTAAAATGCGGGCTGTGGGGTAGGGAGGGGGCAGCCCCGCCCCACTTCCGGGTTAGATTCTGTTCCTTTAACCTTAAAAGTTTTAAACAATGGTTCTTTATTTCTGTCTGAAACTTTTTAAGAGATATCGTTATATACCAATATAATACGCAGTAAGACGTTAACTCCTCCTCGTCATGCCGAAGATAGAATTAATCAACTACTAGTCTTTGCGTACGTTGTTGGGCAAACACTCATGGGATATCATAAAACAGAAAACTTCGTAGATTTACAGGTAAAGCCAGATGCAGCTAATAAAAAACGGCTTTGAACCACATTGAGACACAAATAGTATACGCATTGTTTTCTTAATTTAGAATGTGCAACATTAGGTTTTTTGTAATAATGAAATGTGAGGGAAACTCCTTATAAATTTGTCCACTCACTGAGTTTACGTGGCTTTAAAACATTTCGCCTGTACATTTGGTTGCCCTGGCAACTCGAGTCTGACGTCATCGCCCCGGTGCGACCCTGCTGGTGTGCCTTTGATTGGAGGGAAACCCCGTGGATGAGCGGGAGAGATCATCAGCTGTGTGACCGGGAATCAGGAACAACATCGTCTAACGACACTAACAGGTTAGTTCACATTTATTCACTACGGATGATAGCTGACGTTTTCGACGAAAAGTAGTTAAATTTGCACCGTGTGCTTTGGGGGCCCTTTTAATTCTGCATGAATCGTAGCTACCGGGACTGTAGGGGAAGCCAGTGATGCGCCGCCGCTCAGTCATTGTTCTGCGCTTTCTGAATGGGAAACGTTACTGCACATCAACCCGTCTATTTCTTTCACTCGCTGTGTTTAGAAGGCAGCTTTCGGGTGTAACAAATTAGCTTTTGTAAATTAAGCGACCTAAAATTAATTCCTAACGGGCGGAAAACCTACAGCTCTGGTTTGTTTTCCGGGAAGCGAAAAAGGGCGTTCACTTTGGACTGAACTAAGCTAGGCGCTTTTCATTCAGTTTAACTGAATCGGTGGCACCATTGTTTGGCCTTATCTAGCCATCGGCTGCGTTATTAAACTGTTTTCTACGTAAAACACCGAAAATAGAATGCAGGAAGGCTGTTGTTTATTGTCTGTATCCTAGCTGTGCACAGTAGGAGCCCGGTGGGCAGGTGTGTGTGTGTGTGTGTGTGTGTGTGTGTGTTAGTGAGACAGAGAGAGAGAGACGTGAAACTGGGTGGCCGACATTCCTCAAAAGGGTGCAGGTGTCTGGCAAACCTGACTCACTGATGGTGTGATGTTTGACATGCTGGTCTCATAGGTCTGGTGCGTCTGCGTTTTTACAAGGCTGTAAGCTGGTAAGCAGTCATTTGCAAATTTGAGTTTATTGTTGCACTGTAACAGTACTGCAGTTATCCCGAGATGAAGCAAGGGAATTTTAAAATCTCCTAGCTAGTAATTAGCTTAACTTACTTGTGAAATAAATTCAGGTAGTGCAGTGGGTGCCTCAGGGCTCTGATCAGAACAAGATCAATATTGATCATGGGTTACTGTATACACTTCCTGTCCTGGATTTAACCTTAACTTAGAGCCAATAATTCGTTTTTTATGTTGTGTAACCTACAGCTGACATGATTAGGCGAACTGAGACATCACTGACAGAAAATTAATCTGCAACTATTTTCATAAGCGATTTATAATTCTTGTCATTTATCAAACAAATGCTAAACGTTCACTGGTTTCGACTTCAATAAATTGGAGGATTTGCTGCACTTCTGCAACTGTTCTCAGTCATTTTGTTACAGGTTCCATCTAATTTTAAAAGGAGGATTTCCTGCTTCTGTCTCATATGTGGTAGTTAAGTGAATATTCTGGGGTTTTGGTTTGTTGGCCGGGAAAAAACATGCACTTTTGAGTAGGGTTGCTATAGTATGAGATTTTTACAGTATGATAACCTCAAAAGATCACAGAATTATATTAATAATATCATTATTATTTACAGTTACAATGGTCTTTTTAAAGGAATGAAAATAAGTTATTTCCTGGCTGAACTAAAGCTTTATTATAATTTCACAAAATGTACCTATGTCCTGACAAAATCTTTTTTAATGGAAGTATGTATAAAAATTAAATAAAGATGCACAGGCCAGATCCTCCATCCAGTTTCAATTTTCTTTTTAATACTATAGATAAGCCAATGAATATGGTACAATAAATGTCAGTTTTCATACTGTGGTATGTGTTGAAACGGTATACAACTACAACCTTCATTTGAAGACTATAGTTTCTGCTCTGGGAAATTGTGAGGTACATTTTCCTCTTTTGTGGCATTTTAAAGACAAAACAACTTATTGATGTGTCGAGATAATATACAGATTAATCGATAAAGCTGAATCAGCATTCACACTAATTAAAATTATTCACAGTTGCAGCCCGGCACATTATCTTGAATAGGTCACGGTCTGTTTTTTTTTTTTTTTTCTGTGAAACTGATGTCTGTTTTTTTTTTTAGTATTTCACAACATCTTAAATCGTATTATACATGAAATGGATAAGTTCCATTTCTAAATAAGGCAACCAGAAACAATAGGATGTATAATGAAATATTGTGGCCGTACTGCAACCAAGTGTTAAATTCATTGTGCTTTTTTCTGTCTATTAAAATGAATTCGTATGGAGAAAGGCTTCCTGAAGTAAAACCTCTGTACATATAGCCAGGTTCTCTTGTTGTGTTTCTAACCACCTTCTCTTGTTGTATTTCTAATGACTTGGATGCCAAGTGAATTTAGACACCAGTATAAATCAAGTCTGTCCCAAACTGAGTGCAGATGAGCCAAAGCTGGCTGAAACCCAAAAAGCTGGAATGCACACACACCCAAGAGACGTACTAGTGAAAAATAAATGTCCCCAAGCGTTGCGAGAGACTATAGCAAGATTATAGCAGAAAATAATGTGATGCTCACCAATTTACCAAATGTAATATTCTCCAGCTATAAGAGTGTGGTCAAAGTATTTACTCCCTGATGCCTAATTGTTATTTTTTTTTGTATGTTCAAAAGTACGTTTACATGCATACCAGAAACGAGGTTTCTTTGAGAAATCAGGTTATGCTGGAGGGTATGCAGGAAAACGGGTTCACATGCACATCCTTCATTCAGTTTAAAAGATCAAATCCCTTCCCCCTTCCCCATCATGTTGCTCCTCTTTTTCTCCCCTACTTCCTGCCCTCCCCCAACGCTCCTGTCTTCCTAATCTGTCTCCTGTCCCCTTTTGTTTTGCCCTCTCCGACTCCTTTTCCTCTGTCCTTCCTTCCTTAGCCCACACAGGAGCCATGCCAGACAAGGAGGAGCAGGTACAGAAAGCCAAATTGGCCGAGCAGGCTGAGCGCTATGATGACATGGCCACAGCGATGAAGGCTGTTACAGAGGAGGGCTCGGAGCTTAGCAACGAGGAGCGAAACCTGCTCTCTGTTGCCTATAAGAATGTGGTAGGGGCTAGGAGGTCCTCCTGGAGGGTGGTGTCCAGCATGGAGCAGAAGTCTGATGACAGTGCGAAGACCGCACTGGCCAAGGAGTACAGAATAAAGATCGAGACGGAGCTGAATGACATCTGTAATGAAGTACTGGTAAGTAGCAGAGAAGGGGGTAGATAAGTGGAGAGAGTAGATGCTTGCATCGAGATAAATGGATGGGAAGACAATCAGAGGGTGCAACCAAGTGCTCATTATTAAAATGTCAAATGTTGCTTTGTAGAAATCAAAAGTGAAAACTATACTTACAGGGAGAGCTAGCTATAGCTATATACTAGAACCAAAGCATAAGAAAGCAAAAATATTCCAGATATGCTCGCTGACTTCTTGCACTGTTCATGTCATTCGGAGCTAGAGTCTCCATAGTAGTGATTGGGGTTTGAGCTGTAGTATCGAGGTCCCTCCCAACTAGTCACAATGGGGCAATCGAGTTGTTTTGGCTCCACTTTTGTGGTGCTGTCATGTCCTTCTTTATATACAGTCAATGCAGGCATCCAGTTAGAAATATACATAGTTTTTTATATTTTAAAATAATAAAATACTTACTAGAGTTTGTGTGCGACATCATCAATTTGTCTAGAGGACATGCAGGACCAAGACCAAAAACTAATGTACGCATGTGTAGTGGTCCACACAACACAGAAAGAAACAAACAAGGAACCATTTTGGATCCGATATCCAGTTCTTGCAATGCATCCATGTTCGGGGCGCACACAGAACAATGTTCTTCAATGGGAAGCCAGTGAGGGATCATGCCTTTGTTGGCTGTGGTGCCTGTGTAAATGCCAAGGGAATGCTAGGGATTTATCTATCTGGACACCTCAAATTTGAGAATCAAAATGTGGAAATAACTTATTTAAGGATACAATTCAAATGTGTTTGTCACATAGCTGTTCTGAGCATAAAACTACTTGTCTAGTTTAATATTGCTTTGCTTGAGTCACAGTTCTTCTGTGTGAATATCCAATATCTGTGCCACTGATTACCCTCAGTAACCAGGAAAATTTGCATTTTATACAGGCGTAATATAGTGGTTGTGATCGTGTTATGCCTTGGTGTTGCTGGAGCATTCACAATATGTGTAAGACTAGCTAAAGCTTCATGTTTGAAATCATCCTACCACCTAGAATAGTGATGCTTTAAGCAAATTAATGCTCCCTGGCCCAATGGATGTTTGAATATTTATACATCCATACAGATGGATACATCCTGTATTTGCACATTCACTGCCACTCCAAACCTTTGAACTAAAACAGACAACTTCTAAGTGAGTTTCTGTATTTATTTATTTTAAAGATTTCCATTCCTTTCAAACATGCTCCACTATCAACCTGTCACAATTGTTGGGCTCACTCACTCCCATTTAATTCCACAGACACAAACTTTAGAGACCTCTTACACATTTTGAACAAGAGGCTGGGTATTTTGCAAAGTTGTGTGAGAGTATATGGTGGTGGCTGTCTTTAATTTTTATATATTTTTAGTGCATTGCCCCGTTCACAGTGGCTGCGGTGACACCTCCCTCCGTCTCACATTAAGCATATAAGCCCCGCCCAACGTAGCGGCTTGTTCTGTACTGTAGTTTATTCAAAGTTTATTAATTCCAAACATGTCGTGTCCAAATTGCACCAAATGTGACTGCTCTCCCTTGGGTCCGCTGCACCACACCCGCCGTATGTGAGGTTGATTGGATGAATGGTTCACTACATAATCAAAATACTTAAAAACACACTCAAAGATATTCCTGATAAGACAAGAATGGCCTTATTTCTGATATCCTTTTTGTTTCTGAATTTTTTATCTTTTTAATTTTAATCTGAAATCCTGAATCACACTAGGATAACACTCTGTTAATCACAAGACAGACAAAGCAAATATAGTTCTGCTGCTCTGCACGCTATAGTCAGTCAGTATGTTGTCTTCCTTTCTTAAATCTGTTTCACTTATAGTGTTTGTTTTAATTAGTGGCTGGTTTAGGATTTAATTTCCTTAAATCGTCTTTACCTTAGAGAATCAATGCACACGATGGGATGGAGAAAAGACCTAGATAATTGCTGACAATGATAAGGTTAAAGGACTGCAAGAAATGAGCAGCCTGCAACAGTTCATGGCCACAGGCTCCAAAGAAATAGGGGGCAGCATAATAAATCTTGCAATGTCCTCCAAAAATGTAAAACTAACATCCCAAGCTTCCAACCTTGCCTCATCTTATTAACAGTAATGCCAAGTGGCTACAATATGGTGAACTGATGGACACTGTTCCAGGTTTGTGTCGTCCGTTGCTCTAAAGATAGTTTTGGCTAAATAGCCAACATTGGACGTTAACAGTCAAAAGAAACAAAAGAAATGTTGAGTTCAGCATCAAACTGCTAAGCTAGCATAGCAAGTTAGCATGTTCATTTTAGTAGATATCTCACACAATACATGGATGTTTTTGACATAATGTCAGAATTGTTACTACTTAATATTTTGTTGATAATGTTAGTTAATTTTTTTGAATGTTTTAAACTACAAATCTGGCCATATCTTACACATTGCACCATTTTAAAGCTAATATGCTGACTGTTGTCACAAGGTTCAGGTTGCACACTTAAACCGACCTCTCCTGCCCCAGGGGAGAAGCACTGCTGTGCACGGGTTATCTCTCCAAATACTTGTGTCAAAGTTGTTATCTCATGAACTGACGTTTTTATCTGCTGGTGCAGTTGTGTTGAGTTCCACACATTTCAGCACTTATGATTCACACTTTGACTTGCAGGAGCTGCTCGACAAACACCTGATCCCCAGTGCCACGCCTGCTGACAGCAAGGTCTTCTACCTGAAGATGAAGGGAGACTACTACCGCTACCTGGCTGAGGTGGCCACTGAAGAGAACAAGGAGAGTAAGTAAAGCAGACCTCTGTGTGTCCTGTAACAGTTGCAGTCATTTTGGAGTTTTTTTTTTTTCAAATTGCTAATAACCTCTCCATCTATCTCTTGTACAATCACTTGAGGAAATCAGACGGCATCATGCTCAGGGTTCCTGAGCAGTATGCTAGACCCATCAAACATGTTTTTTTTTTAAAAGTTTAATGCTGCCCTCTACTGCTAAAAATGCACGCTGCTTTGTGATCAAGCCCTTTGTTTCTAGTTGCCGTCTGTTGGGAGGATGAGGTGAATGTGTGCTGATTAATGGTCCTTAATAATCTTCTTTAAGATGAGGAGACCAGGCTTGCTTCAGGTTGTGTTCTTTGGTGTTGGACAGAATATAGACACCCTCCTGGTCCCCAAACCTCCTACTGTCAGCCGAAAATGCAGGCGAAGGCTGCCGCTGGGTTGTCATGGCAACAGGAGCAGCACCAGGGTGTTGGCTGAGTCTGGTTTCTTTGGTTGGCTGTGGCAACCTGAACTGCCTGGGAGATGTTTTTTTTCAGTCTCAGATTGTGTTGTAGGTCATACAGTGTCTTTAAGTTGTGTATTTGTAATCCTGTAGCATTAGTGCAATCAACAGGGGGGTTTGTCACCTTTGCTGGGCAGTTCGTAATCCATAGTTTCCAATCTTGCCTTTGGCTGTTAATAATAAACACAGAGGTACATGTACACATGAGACATTGCTCCTCTAAAATGTATTGCCTTTATCTCAACAATTACAGCTAATATTTCTTTTTGAAGAGAATTGTTATCTTGTTTGAGTCGTGTGTTTTTTTTTTTTTTTTTTTTATTTATATTTTTCCTTCTGATTTATTAATAGGGATGGGGATCATTAATTTTTATCGATACCACTATTGATACTTTACTATTATTTAGTGATGGTTATTTGGTAAGTCCAGACCCAACATGCAGGCATGAGGTAGGCCTGCACGGTATGAGGAATATATTCAATGTGCAATAACGTTATATATTAAGATCTCATATCACTTACGATAAATAAACATATATTGAAGGGTACATATTAACTGCCTGGTTGTTTTTAATTTAATATTTTATTTACAGCTAAATGTTGTTTCTAGAGCAGCAACATTAATGTTTACAACAGCAAAGTAACTCAATAACTTTATCTGACATCACTCACAAATAGTGACGTTCAGAAAGAACAACATCAGTCTGTATCAGTCCCTCCTCCTCTCTCGCTGGCTGCAGGTAAGTTACCAGGTAGGAGGAGGAGCGGCTGGTTTGTCTCAGCCAGCAGTTTTTAAGACTACAGATCAGTCTGTGCTCCAGACAGACAGCTTTCTATTTAGCTTGTTTTTAACATTTGGCTAATGCCAAGCTAGCGTTAGCAGTGTTTGTATAAAACATACAGGATGAGATACTGAGGACAGAGATGATTAAATTAACCAGCCACTGTGTGTCTGTGGGTGGGGGGTGATTTTCTTATCCATTGCATTTCAAATTAAATTAGATTTGACACTCGAACGTTACATCATAGCCCGCAAGTCTCGATAGCAGTATCTATAAGCTCAAACCTTATTGATTTTTCGGGTTTTGGAATATTTTGGAACCGGGTCTCGATCCCCATCCCTATTTATTAATCATAATATTAACTTATAGTACTTTTATTGTCTTTTCTGTTTGGGGTTCATGTTGCTGAAATAATCATTTTTCTATTGCAACTCCCAGTGTATTTTGTCTTGTAAAAAAAGCTAAACATTCATGGTTTCCAGCTTCTCAGTTGGGAGGATTTGCTGATTTTTATTGTCTTAGGTGAAAAACTATATTTGTCTGGTTTTTAAACCGTTGGTTGGGAAAAAAGGGAGGGGAATTGTGATGGCTAATGAATAACTGCACCCCACCAGACAGTTTGCCTCACAAGCTGGCTTGGATGTCATGTTTATAGGAGTTAAAACTGTATGCAGGCTGTTTCTGCAGGTTCAATATGTATAAATATTGGCAAGGGTGGCTGTGATTTGTAAGAAATCTGAGAAGCAGTAACATGCACCATCTCTCACACACACACACACACACACACACACACACACACACACACACACACACACAGCTGGTGCACAATGGCACATTCTGTAATCCAGGGCAGTTACAAAGTAATGTGAACAAGAAGTCTTGTTTTTTCCATTTGAAATATCTGCTTCCTTATTGGTCTATCTCCCTATGTGTAGCCATCATCGCCAGCTCACAAGAAGCCTACCAGAAGGCCTTGGATATCAGCAACCAAGAAATGCAGCCTACACATCCCATCCGCCTAGGCCTCGCTCTCAACTTCTCGGTCTTCTACTACGAAATTGTCAACTCACCTGAGAAAGCCTGCAAATTGGCCAAGGAGGTAAGAAAGCATCTTCTCGTGTTTTATTTTGGTTTCTCTTGGATTCCATTTCTGTTTGTTTCGTCTCCATTTATTTGTCCCTTTTAAAAGATGAATTGTCCAGAATCTGGTAAAAGGAATGATATGAGGTGGTTTTAATCGCTGAGGTGTTCATTACGAGACTCCTCCTGCTCCAGTCACTGTACCCATCCAGTCACAAGATGAATGCTGTAGGCCTTCTTTTTTTTTAACCCTAACCAATTAACAATTGCACTGTTCTTTTGAAGTGTCCCAGTACGGTTTGTCCTTTGAATTTTCTTGGCATTGACCTGGATACAATTAGAAATGGCTTTTGGATTTAAATGAGTAGTTTAACATTCTGTGAAATATGATTATTTTCTTTCTTGCCTAGAGTTAGTTGAGCAATTAATTGGAGTTCTTGACAATGAAAACCACAGTCTAACTTTCCTCATTAAAATTAAGCACAGCACAAATGTACCAATTTATCTTGAACCCTATTAATGGCTGCTTGCTATTGTGTTTTATTCATTATACTCATTATTTTGCCCTGACAGTATCAACTTAAATCCATCTCATGTTGGTAAAATTACGCTTTTGGAAACTTGCACACTTGTTTTAAAAGCATTGACGGCTGTCTGTCTCCTCCAGGCCTTTGATGAAGCCATCGCCATGCTGGATTCCCTGAACAGTGACTCCTACAAAGACAGCACCTTGATCATGCAGCTTCTCCGTGACAATCTGACTGTGAGTGTCTCATCTTTATGTCCCTGCATGTTAGTGGCGTCTTACACTCTCACTTTCCACTGTCCCTTGCCTCTACACTGGTTTTGTTTCACATTGATCCTCAAACTCAACGAAATATTTAGAATGCAGAGGTTTTTCCTGTGCTTCTTAGCGGGCACTAATCCCAGTGTCCCCTTGCTTTTATTGCAGCTGTGGATGTCAGACGCCCAGGGTGAAGGCGAGGGTGAGGGAGAGGAGACGGAGCAGGCAGCTGAGAAGAACTGAACTGAACTTCAGAAAGAAAAACAAGACAAACACACATTTTTTACCTCTCACCAGCCTAAGTTGTGTGTGTATGTGTGTGTGTGGTTGTGTTTGCACATACATGCACAGATATGTATGTTTACACTCCACTCACAATGTGTAAAGTACAGTATGTGTGTGTGCAGATACTTAAGTGTGTTAGTTGTATGAGCACCTCCACAGAGAAAGAATGGGATAGATCTTTTTTTATTTTTATTTTTATTTTTGAACATTACTCATTGTGTGAACCAGTGGGTGTTTGTTTTTGTCCATTGGTTTAGTCCAGATGAAATCCCTCCTTTAGATCGAAATCAGCCCCATGCTCGTTAACCTTATTCATTGTAGCAAACTGCTGCTGTTGCAGGAAAACACAAAGAACCTCTAACTGTAATTTTGATAATTTGTATGTTTTTACTTGAACTCAACATTTACGATCTTTGTGACACTTGGGTTGACAAAACTCCTTTTGAAGCACAAACTGTTAAATGAAATAAAAAAATAAATAAAATGGCCACAGTGGTCTGAATTCACTAAATTTTAGGTCTCATCTGACAATATCAGTGATCATATAGATGTCAGAATTGACCTTGATAAAGATCTATTACCATATTGCTTGTATCCATCCCGCCCTGTCAGTGTCCAGTGTAGCAGGTAGTGGTTTTAATGGATGGTACATGTGTCATGGCTCAGTGGGTTGTATGTGCATTCGGGCAGAGGAAAGGTTTTTTGTATGAATGGCCACTTGCGAAAAACTGTAGTTAAACTTTTTAGTTGATAGTTTTTGTTGAGAGGATTACATTCCATTTTGCTGACACCTTTTCACTCTTTGTGAAATGCGTAGAATATAATTTCCTGCAGTTTTCCATAACACATGACATGGTATAGACAGCCTAAAGATAAAGTGAACAACTTGACAAAATGGCTTGATACTGTAACTTTTGATATTTTCTCTTTTCAGTGCAGAGGATACTTTTGCCATGTGCTTTTATGTGACTTTCTACTCTATTTCTATTCAGGGGTGTTTGTATTTTCTTTTTGTGCATTTTATTCCCTTTTGACTCCTGGAATGTATGTGGTTCTCAGTATAGTATGGTGTGAGGGGTTAGCTGTGCTTTGAAACTGGCAGTTTTGCTTAGGTTTTAGCTTGAACCAGGTGGTTTACAGTAACATTTACCTTCCTTGAAAGAACATTGTGAAAAGATAAAACTAAACAGTGCTAATTATAAACTGACTATTAAAATAACTTGGTAGACAGCTACGTTATGACCACTTAGTAGATACAAAGTAGTGCCAGTTTCTTATTTTAAAAAGATGGGATGCAGGATTCCGAATTTGCAAGTTACACTCTTGGGTACATTATTTGGTTATGTGCTTTCATGTAAGTGGAATCAAAACATTAAAATCAAGTGTGCCATTCTCAACGTGTCTATTTGCTCTCTGTACACGTGGAATTGTTGAACACAAAGTGGTTCTACTATTTACCATACCAGCTGGGAGTGGTGTCAGCTGCTCTCACTGCTCTCACAGCTAGGAAATGAGGTCTGTCTCATTCAGGTGAAATGGCTGTTAGTGAGTGTCCTCATGCACACAGACAAGAACATCCTTCATTGAATGCGTTTAAAACTACATCTTTGTATGATCTTTACAATCTTGACTGGTATGTTGGACAGAAACTCATGTATAACCTTAGCAATGAACATATAGTTTAAGTTTAACACTTGAACAACACAATGTAACTCCAAGTCAGTCACACTCCTGTGAAATCAAACTGTCCACTTAGGAAGCAACACTGATTGACAATCAATTTCACATGCTGTTGTGCAAATGAATAGACAACAGGTGGAAATTATGGGCAATTAGCAAGACACCCCCAATAAAGGAGTGGTTCTGCAGGTGGCGACCACAGACCACTTCTCAGTTCCTATGCTTCCTGACTGATGTTTTGGTCACTTTTGAATGCTGGCGGTGCTTTCACTCTATTGGTAGCATGAGACGGAGTCTACAACCCACACAAGTGGCTCAGGTAGTGCAGCTCATCCAGGATGGCACATCAATGCGAGCTGTGGCAAGAAGGTTAGCTGTGTCTGTCAGCGTAGTGTCCAGTGCATGGAGGCGCCATCAGGAGATGTGGAGGAGGCCGTAGGAGGGCAACGACCCAGCAGCAGGACCGCTACCTCCGCCTTTGTGCAAGGAGGAGCAGGAGGAGCACTGCCAGAGCCCTGCAAAATGACCTCCAGCAGGCCACAAATGTGCATGTGTCTGCTCAAACGGTCAGAAACAGACTCCATGAGGGCCCGATGTCCACAGGTGGGGGTTGTGCTTACAGCCCAACACTGTGCAGGACGTTTGGCACCAAGACCACCAAGATTGGCAAATTTGCCACTGGCGCCCTGTGCTCTTCATAGATGAAAGCAGGTTCATACTCCAGCATGACTGGTTTGGCGGTGGGTCAGTAATGGTGTGGGGTGGCATTTCTTTGGGGGGGGCCGCACAGCCCTCCATGTGCTCGCCAGAGGTAGCCTGACTGCCATTAGGTACCGAGATGAGATCCTCAGACCCCTTGTGAGACCATATGCTGGTGCGGTTGGCCCTGGGTTCCTCCTAATGCAAGACAATGCTAGACCTCATGTGGCTGGAGTGTGTCAGCAGTTCCCGCAAGAGGAAGGCATTGATGCTAAGGACTGGCCCGCCCGTTCCTCAGACCTGAATCCAATTGAGCACATCTGGGACATCATGTCTAGCTCCATCCACCAACGCCACGTTGCACCACAGACTGTCCAGGAGTTGGCGGATGCTTTAGTCCAGGTCTGGGAGGAGATCCCTCAGGAGACCATCCGCCACCTCATCAGGAGCATGCCCAGGCGTTGTAGGGAGGTCATACAGGCATGTGGAGGCCACACACTACTGAGCCTCATTTTGACTTGTTTTAAGGATATTACATCAAAGTTGGATCGGCCTTTAGTGTGGTTTTCCACTTCAAATCCAGACCTCCATGGGTTGATAAATTTGATTTCCATTGATGATTTTTGTGTGATTTTGTTGTCAGCACATTCAACTATGTAAAGAAAGGAGTATTTAATGAGATTATTTCATTCATTCAGATCTAGGATGTGTTGTTTTAGTGTTCCCTTTATTTTTTTTGAGCAGTGTATATTAATGTATTCTAATATTGAAGCCAAAATGGCTTTTTGCACCCTCTGAATTATCAGTCCTGAAGGAAAAAACTCACTGTTGAATTGTGGTTTAACATTAAGTTACTGCTTTGAGGATAAACTAACAACATTCTTATGGTAAATACTCTTAATCATTCTCAGCAAAATTATGATCCAAAATTATGATAGCAGCTGAAGAGATGCTTGCTTGAGACTTTGCTATATTGACAAAAGATCAGGGAGATGATTGAAAAACTAGCTTACTTGATAAACATCTTTATTTTCTTTACCTCCCTTGGTTCTGGTGAATTAAAAGTCATAGTTTAGGATGCAGAGTTCTGGTTTGGTTTTAGATAGAAGCATGCGTTTCACCGACAACACTGCCCTCTGCAGATGGCTGTGAAGAGCCATGTTGTGATGCATCTAGATGGAGTGGTAATTGGCTCATTTTCAAGCTTGACACATGACTTGACTCTTTTTAATCTATCTCTACAGAAACCAAGAAAGGATTTGTCTCACATACAGCACACTGCTATATATTTAAAAGTAATTGTAAGCCTATCACATACAATATCAAAGGGGTCTGTCTTCAAGTGGTAGGTCCATTTCAGTTACATTTGTGAGAAATTTAGCTTTGATCAACAGCATTTAAGGACAATAACTTATCCAGTGGGGTGATGTGGCTCTGTGTTTTATTCTCACACTGAGAGCAGCTGATAAGGCTCCCCTATTCTTTAAAATAAGAGGGTACATTTAAAGTATAAGGGCTTTTGTATGTGATGCAATCCTGCATATCACGTTTGCTGAATGGCCAAACATTCTTATCAAACGAAGAATGACCTGCGTGGTGTTACAGTAAAGTGTCATTCCTCCTAAGGCATGACCAGCCCGTGCCCAGTACTGTAGGCTATTCAGCTGTCGGGGTGGTTGTGTGACTATCGGCATTTTCTTCCAGGCTGCTGTAGATCCCAGACACTGCGAAACGGGAGGAATTCAAGTCGTCCCCATACAGCACCTCTAAACAACTGAGTATTGTAGTCAATTTCAGCCTGTAACACTACGTTTTTACATGATTTCATCATCATGCGTACAGCTGTGGTCAACGCCCCCTTGTTGACTTTTTTCCCCACTATACTCGAAAATGATTGGTCCATTTCAGTGACGCAGCCTCCAGTATATATAAGACAACTTTCCCGTTGTTCCCTCCCCCTCAAACCCGGCTGTTAGTGCTGTGAGAGTGCGTGTGTGCTCCTGAGCTCGCTCGGCACACGTTCTATAAAAAAAAATAAAAATATAAAAAAAAAATTCAAAAGCTAAAAAAAAAACCAAAAAATCATTTTTCTTTCTTTTTGTAACAACTCGGTGAAGCTGGAGTAGACACTCGAGGACGGGACGGTAACGTATAAGAAAGGGCTGCCTAACGTTAAATCGAACGATAACGTATATTTTATTTAGTCGACGTGTTAACGTTAACTGGTTCAGAAGCGAGGCCAAGTAACGTTAGATTTGCTTTTTATCATTGTGTGTAGATTTGAGTGACAGTTTTAATCCCACTAGAAGTCGATATTGGTCATTTTAACACATTCATCTTATCCATTTTACTCCCAAAACACTAACAGACAAATCAACGGTTGGTAGCGTTTACCATCAGCGTTCTGCCCCGAACTGACGTGACGCCAGTGGCCGTTAAAGAGCCAAACATTCGTAACGTTACTGTCGCCGAAAACTTTTTTTGCGTTAGGAAATTCAAGCTTCGTCCGAGTACTACTTGCTAGCCTCCACAGCCAACGAGAATGAACCCCAGTGCACCCAGTTACCCCATGGCCTCCCTTTACGTCGGGGATCTGCATCAAGATGTGACTGAGGCCATGCTGTATGAGAAATTCAGCCCGGCCGGAGCTATCCTGTCGATCCGGGTCTGTAGGGACATGATCACCCGGCGTTCCCTTGGATACGCCTATGTCAACTTTCAACAGCCGGCGGACGGTAGGTCATTTATAATACCGACTATAATGTGTGAAAATTAGTGCCTGTTTTAAGATGACAGTCGATGACAAGTGAAAGCTTGCCTCTTCCCACTACACGTGACTGCGGCCGACATATTGTCTGTGGGGTCGCCTCATCTGAACCTCCCCAGCAGTGGCGTAGCAGAAAAGCACTAAAGTTAGGTCCGCTCTGCCCACCCCACCCTAGTAATGTAGCAGTGGACTGCTAGCTGCCAGCTGAATACTCAATGCGTTTTTTCTTTATCTCTGTTATGTCAGGACAACACCCCAACTGTTCAGCCTAGAGCTGACAGAACAGTTTTAATTAAATCTTCCCACAGTGTTTGGCAGTCAGTTTTGTTTTGATATGAATACTCAACTTTATCTGTAGAGATAAAATGGTATGTCACTTTATAAAAATGTTAGGATATGTCAGCCTTTCATGCCCAAGTAGTCAAATATCTACCTCCCACAATACATTTTCTGTGTTCTATGGATATAAACCATAGAAACTCAGTTCTGCATTTGCCTTTTGGTGTTCTTGGGAGTGTTTGTGGGGTGTTTTTTTTTGCTAAAATATATCCTGTTGAGGCTCTTGCACAAAGAGCCTCTTTATCTGCCAAGTATTAGTGGTGGGGCCATATAGATAAAATCCTCTATTTGGTGGTGGATGTCATTTTATATGCTGATAACATTATCAATGTATGATGTGATGTACATTTTCTGAAATTCCATTGAGAAACCAGACATAATGTGTTTTTTTTTTTTTGTTTTTTTTTGTTTGTTTTTAATTCAGGGAATTAAAATCCTGAAAAATATAGGTACCCCATCACTTCAGTACTCCACCAGTTCAGTAATACCATAAAGCAATGGGGGCTTAATATAAAATGACATGTCAGTGTATTGATTAGTCTAGTGACAGTGAATTCTTTAATGTTTTGGGTCACTTTTTGATGACTGACCGGTGACAGCATGGACTTTGGACCATCATTTTCTTGAGCAATGGCCTGGGGAGAATAATGTGTCATAAGTTTGATTACCGCATTGTCTGCTCAAGCAGCTTTGTCAAATTCAGTGCTTCCTCCATAGTAGGTTGCACTGGCCGAAATGGCTGCAACAGTGACTCTGTAGTTCATGGGCCCCACATTTCTTCATCATGGATTCTGGGGATAAATATGTACTACAGACAAAAACAAATTGACCTCAAAGGGACATTTTGCACACCTTGAAGACTAACAGTAATGTAAATATGTTTAACCACCATGACAGCATGGACTGTGGACT